CTACTTAGACATTTCACCATTTGGGAACTTTCCACATTGCAATTTGCTGCCTTTTTTTTTTTTTTGAGCTGGCAACTCCATTTGGCACATTTTTTTATGAACCGTTCATACAAATGGAAATTTTTACCAAAACGAGGGGGCATTTTTAATTCGTCTTTTCAGCCGAACGCATAATTCTCCATTCTTTCGAAGCAAATAAAATAGGACCTCATTTTCGCAAGTTGTATTTAAAAATGCACAAAGTGGCGTTTTTTAAAAGTATCACAACACGAAAAAAAAGGAAAAATGCGGCACCATTTTAAAACTGTAAGAGACGAGAAAAAAAAATAAGCAAATAATATAATAATAATATTAATAATGACAATAAGCAAAATAACGGTTGTCACGTTGGTCATTATTTGAGGTGCCCCCCGCGGAGACTTCTGCAAATAGTTGTAAGCTTCATGCATCGCGCTTATTCTCTTGATAACAAAAAAATGAAAGAAATGCGGCCTACTAAAATGGAAAACAGTTCCAACGGTCACATTTCAGGAGTTGTAAAAAAAAGACATATTTTTCTGCAGCTATTTCGAAATGTCTCTTATATTACAATTTTTTTTTATGAACAAAATTTTGAAATGAGCGATTTTGGCTAGTCGTTTTTTTCTCTTTTTTTATAGCCAAATTGTTTTATAGATGAAGATAATGGCTACCCCATTCTACCCACAAATTTGTGAGCGCCTCTTTCAATTTTTCTGCCTGCTATGTCCACATTGATTTACACACATGGCATGTCATCGAAAGGGGAGGGGAGGAAGATAAATCAATTCGTTGTAGACAGCATATTGTTGTTCATTTCTTATGGGTTATTTTTTCCGCTTCTCTTCAATGTTCTTAATGTCGTTCAAATCGAAAATTTTATTTTTGTTTTTTTCCTCTAGACAGTCCCGTTCATTCTGCTGTATTTTGGTCGCTTCCCTTTGCTCTTCCTCTTCGCACATTTTCTTATATTCGGAGAAGCTCATTATTTCCTTTTCATTCACATCGTTGGTCAGCAGTTCCAAAATCCATCCATCGGTTTCCGAATTTTCGTTCATTAAATTTACGTTGTCGACTATTTTGTCATTGATGTCGACAATTTGCCCACTGATGGGGGTGTACACGTCCCCCACGCTCTTAACGCTCTCAACCGTTGCGATGCAGTCCCCCTTCTTTACGTACTCATTTATGTTATGCGAAATATCGATATACACGATTTCCCCCAATTTTTCTGTTCCATAATTGCTAATGCCTATTTTGCATTTTACGTTGTTTTTCTTTTTCAATTCGGTCAACTGTTCATCATTTATTTTGATGTATTCGTGTGACTTTGTATAGTACGTAATGAATCTGCCTACCTTCCGTTGGGCGCAAGAGGGGGTAGCCCCAGCAGGGAGAAATGGTCTTTTAAGCAGCAACATTTTTTGCGCTAACATGCTTTTGAAAGGTTCAAAAGGTGAAAAAAAAAAAAACACATATAAAATGACAAAATGGCAAAGAGGTGAAGCACTTCTGAAAGCAAGAATACACTACGAATTTTCAGCACCAAAATGGTAATGCTCACGTGAAAACACCTATAACCTATGTACTTAACTCGAAATGGAATTGAAGCCCTTCGCTTGGTTTTTCTTTCCGCGCGGCATAGCGGAAGAATTAATGGGGTCAAAATTTTGACAAATAAAAAATTAGGCAATTATTCACATTTCTGCATTTATCCTAGCAAAGTTGTGCTTCTTTTTTTTTTTT